CCCCCCCCCGTGTTAGCTGTGGAGAGCGGATCTGTCCGGATAGGAACGAGGGTCCTGGGCGGGGAGACCCCAAAAATCCCCCTCGGGGCCATGCTGAGGGTGCCCCCCCCGGGTCATGTTGAGGGGAGCAGGTCTTTCCTATGGGAACGAGGGTCCTATCTGGGGAGATCGCTGCATCTATTACCCCAAAACCCCGCTCTCGGCGTCATACCGGGGGTCTTAATTGGGGAGAGTATGTCTTTCCTATGGGAATGAGGGTCTTTTTTGGGGAGATCAGGATTTTAGGGTAATGGATGCACTGATCTCCCCAGCTATGACGCTCAGTCCCATGCAAAAGACCTGCTCTCCCCAATTAAGACCCTCAATATGGCTGCGAGCGGGGTTTTAGGGTAACATACGCACCGCTCACAGGGTCGTGCTTGGGGTCCTAGTTGGGATGAGGATGTTTGGTGCCTGTATTACCCTAAAATCCCACGCTCAGGGTCAGATGGAGGGTCTTCGTTGGGGAGAGCAAGTCTTTCCTATGGGAAGGAGGGTCTTAGTTGAGGAGATTGCTGCATATATTACCCTAAAACCCCGTTCTCGGGGTGATATTCTCCCCTTCAAGGTGTATCACTTGCGTACAGGGTGAACAGGTGCGCTCGAGCCCACCCAGCTCAATGCTTCCCCCCGCCGGAAACCTCCACAGATATAAAAAAAAGAAATAGGGAGGACTCGAATGCATAGAAATCCTAGGCAGACGCCGTTCTTTGGGTAAATCTGAGATCTTTTGTTAAACTAACTCAGATAGTTTGAAAAATTCTTCTTTGCAAGCTTTCGGGCACAAACACCCTTCTTCAGGCAGAGGACGGTGTTTGTGCCCGAAAGCTGGCAAAGAAGAATTTTTCCCACTATTTCAGTTGGTCTAATAAAGGATATCGGATTTACCCAAAGAGCCTCATCTGCCTGTGTCCTTAGACCAACACGGCTGCAGCTAACAGCCCTAGAAATCCTAGAGACGTCGCATCTAGTCCAGCTCCCGTTTCTGTAATAGTTTGTAAAGTGTGTGCAAAATGTGAGGTTTGGGGTTTATTCATACATTATACAGAGGGAATTTCCCCCACGTTGATTTTTATCTTATCCAGCAAGGGTCATCTGCAGAGCAGCAGTGACGTGTTGAAATAGGGAACAGGTCTTCCCTGTGGGAATGAGGGTCTTGGCTGGGGAGAGGATATTAGTACATTTATGGGGGGGAACCCCACTTTCTGGGTAATATTATCCCCTTCAAGATGTATAGCTTCTGTGGAGCCAAGTGCACTTAATGTTTTAACCCACGTGGCTGAATACCCCCCCCATACACTCTGCCAAACCCCCGTGGATGCAAAAAAGAAACAAGGAGTATGTGAATGCATGGAGAGTTCATAGAAATCACAGAGAAGTCGGGCTGGAAGAGACCTCCAGAGGTCCTCTAGGCCACCCCCCCACTCCATCATACTTTGCAAAGTGTCTGTAGATTTTGTCTGCAATAGGAAGATATAATCTGACTGAATAGTTAGTTGGCCTGTGCATGTGTGTGCACGCGTGTGCAAATGAGTAATGCATGTG